TGCATATTACGAGGAGAGGGGTAGGAGAGGTCTGTCTGCGCGTTCGGCCTCTATAAAGAGGGCGTGGGAAACGGGGTTTGAGCCGCAAAGAGGGTGGGGGGCGCGGAGAGGGGGGAGGGGGGCGCACGGAGTAGACGACGGGCGCGCGCAAACGCGGGAGTGGGGGCAAGCACACACCTCGCTGTGATGTGGAATTGTGCCTCTCTCTCTCTCTCTCTCTCTCTCACGCCGCCTTTGTCAGACTCTTGCGTCCGCTCTTGCTGCGGCTGCGCGTGCCAGCGGCGGGGCCTTTAGGGTGTCCGGCCACTCCGGCGCCGCTTCGGAGGGAGTGTGCGATTTCGCGCCCCAGCACATACGCCACGACTGCTGGTCCTACGAGCCAAGCGCCATTGGGGAGCGCAAAGAGTAGCCACCAGTCGCGCGTGCTGCAGTGGCCCGTGTAGACCCATCCGTTTGGGCCGCCCAGGTGGTCTTGCAGCCAGTACAACGCAGTCTTGCTCTCCGTCATGACGACGGCAGTGAAGCCGACGAGAGGCGCAACGGCGGCATAAGGCGGAGAGGCGCGGTGCGCTAGGTACAGGTAGCTGAAGTTGAGAATCGTCTCGACGATGTTGAGCGCGCCTGGGCGCGAGATGTCAGCAAGAGAATACGACCCATTGTGGGAGCAAGCAAGCGCAACCCCCGTTGCAAGAGCAGCGCAGCAAGCACCGATGCCCCAGCTCGCCAGAGGCAGCCCGGCCCCCTCTCTCTCTCTCGGCGAGTAAGCACGCGCATCGGCAGGCGGGGCAGCGGGGCAGCGGGGCAGCGGGACCAGCAGGCTTACTCGTGCCAGAGCCAGCCAAGCGCCGCCCAAACAGCCGTGCCTCCCTCAACGATGCGTCCCCGATGCGCTCAATCGGGCGGTGATGGGTCGCAGAAGCGATGTGCTCCTTTCCTTTCAAAGCCAGTCCACGATGTGCGCTCCCTCCCTCTCCACTTTGCATCGCCGCCCGCCGCCCGCCGCCCGCCGCACCATTGCGAACTCGCCCGCACCGGCCCAGCTCAGTTGGCGGGCTCTGCCCCGCGCATGCTTGCCCAGCCCAGCCCAAGGGAGGGGGGGGGAGAGGGGCAGGTAGCCCTGTGTGGATTTGCAAGCACTGCAGCCCGGCCGCAGCAAGCTACGCCAGCCGAACTGGCCATTGCAACGTACGCAAAGCCAGCCGCGCCAAGCGACTGCGGGCATGAAGCCTGTGCATCTTTGCGCGTCTCCCACATGCATCTGCACTCATCTCTGCCACGCTTGCCCCCCCCCCCCCCCCACTACCTCCAGTCGCCTCACGCCGCCAGCCCACGCCCTTTCTTGCCGCGCCCCACTCACCCTGCGCAGCGGTGAATCCCCAGCCCTCCTTGTAGGCGCGCTGCGAGTAGATGAGGTCGATGGTGCCGTACAGCTCGTACGGCGCCCACGGCGCGAAGAGCCAGCCGCCGCGGAAGGAGTGCGGACGCGCAAAGATGTAGCCGGCATCCCAGAGGACGAGGAGCGAGGAGAAGCTGGCGCGCACAGACACAAGCGTGGTCAGAAAAGCGTGTCAGACGTGGAAGAGAGACGCGGCAAGAGAGCGTGATGCGCGGCAAGAGAGAGCGTGGACAAGCGCGGCACAAGCGCGGCAAGAGAGAAGGCAAAGAGGAAAGAGAGCGTGCAAGCGAGACAGAGGCAAGGCAAGAGTCTGCTGCAGGACAGCAAAGCCCCGCCTCTCTCTTTTCTTTGCGTAGCAGCCCTCTCTCGCTTGCAGCCTCTCTCGCGTCAACAGCACTTCGAAGGCCGTCCCTATTGCCTGTTGGCCAAGCGTGCGCAGCCCCCACCTCTGTCGACGCAGAAGAATCGACGTTTGTCCTCCACAGCAGCCAAGAATGGCACACCCTACGCAGCGCTCTGCCCCGTCACACGCTGAGCGCGCAGCGCGGGGCCCAACACATGCCATGCCCCACTGCCAAGGATAGAAGGGGCACGCAGCGCTGGCACTCCCCTCTCCAACGCAGAAGAAGAGAGAGAGACACACGCGCGCGGGGCTACGTGGGTATGCTGGGCGTGTGGGCCTGGCCCGCCCGCCGTCGTTGGCACAGCGGCCCACGTAGCAACAGCACTTCGCAAGGCGCACGCAAGGTGGGGGGGAGTTCAAGCTCGACTCTTGCGGCCTTTGCCCTGCGTTTGCCCCCCCTCGCCACTACGAGCACATGCGCATCGGCGCCAACCCTCTTACATCCACCCCCCTCTCCCCCCGCCCCTGCTGCGCCCTCGCAGGTGCGACACACACACACACAACTCACAAGAACCACGCGCTGATCCAGCGCTTGGGCGCGTGCAGATGCAGTGCCGAGACGGCCATGGCTGGGACGCGAGAGTGGAGGTGTGTGGGGTGGTGGTGGTGGAGAGGAAGCAAGGCCTGCCCCCTCCGCACGCCGCGCCGTGTGGATGCGCGCGCGTGATGCGCCGGAGAGCGCGAATGGCGTGGTGCGTGCGAGTCGCCGTTGAGCGGCGCGCCGGCCTCTCCGCATGCAGCAAGGCGCCGATTGCCGGACGCGCCACGTGCCACGGCGCTTGCATCCGGCTGTTCCCACGCCCACCTTGCTTGCTGGCGCGCGCGGCCGTCGCACCACGCGCGCGGCCCGAGATGCGCCGCACCCGCGTCCTGCTCTCCTTCCCTCGCCTTACCCCCACTCCACTCCTCTCTGCCAGCCATGTCCCTCCGCGCCGCCCTGCGTCCCGCCACGCGCGCTCTCCGCGTCCCCGCCGCTGCGCCGCAGCACGCTCGCTTTGCCTCCAGCGACGCCCTGGGCCAGGAGCTGCTTGCGGAGCGCAAGCACGCCGTCGAACATGCTGCTGGTGCGTTCTGTAGAGGAGAGAAAGGCCGGGGGGGGGGGTAGGGATGGCAAGTGGACATTTTGAGGGATGGAGAAGAGCGGTGCAGAGCTGCACCCCTGTGAGGCAGGGCCGCATCAGTGGGGTATTCGTCAGGGCGCGAGTGTTACGTCCCTTGGCATGGTTGTAAGGCGGACATCGTCCATTGGCCCCTCTCTCCTGCGTACGCGTGCAAAGCCGGGGCCAGTGCCAAACGTGTTGCGCCTTTACAGTGTCCGCCACATGCCGCATCGTGCACAGAATCTGACGCATGTTTCGCACGCCCGCACGCTCGCTTCGCTCGCCGCGCGCAGGCTCGGCCGATCTCTGGCGCAAGATCAGCATGTACGTCTGCCTGCCCGGCTCCATTGTGCTCGGCGTGTACATCTACCAGATCGAGGCTGCCCAGTGAGTTGTGCTGCCAACCCCTCCCGTGCGGTGCTGTGCAAAGTGGCTGACGCAGTGCTACACACTCGCTGCGCTCGTTGCGCACTCGCCAGCATCGCACACCGCGATCACGAGCTGCACGAGAACGACGGCAAGGTCGACCCGGGCCCGCGGTACGAGTACCGTGACCGTCGTAAGTGCCCCTTCCCCCCCCCCCCCCACCACCACTAGCACATCGGGCTGACGCAGAACGCGCGTTACAACAGGCGTCAAGCGTGAGTAAGCCGAAGAGCGAGAGGCGAGACGCGCGCGAGAGGCGACGCGATGAGGAGGCAAGGCCCCTTTGGGGTAGCGAGGAGAGGGCAGATGCTCCGAAGAGGACACGAGAGCATGGACAGCATGCCAGTGCATGCGTAATCGTCTTGCTCGTCATCTCGTACTGACTCCTTCCTTGCCCCGATGCCTTCAGCCTTCGCCTGGGTACGTTCCCCTGCCTTCCCTGACAGCCCCAGACACTCACATGCTCTTTTAACAGGGAAACAACTCGTTCTTCTTTAACCCAAAGGCGAACACGAACATGGACGAGCTGGAGTGAGCGATTCGGACGCTCTGAGCGACTCGGGAGTCGTTTCGGAGTGTCAGGGAGGCCGAGGGGGAGGTTCTGGGCCGATCTGAGCAAGATAGAGTCTTGTACTCGCCAAGCAATCGTCATACGTCGCCTCTCTTCCTTAGTGCGTCCCTTATGCAGTGTCCTCGACGTGCTCGTCGTGCGTGGTGTGCTCGTGTTGCTCGTCGTCGTCAGAACGGCATGCTTTGAGGTCATCGTGGGCCTGGAGAACGCGTGCGAGACCCTAATGATGCTCCAGCGCATCATGAGCGCGTCGGACGCGCGGCTCTGCTTCCTGTGGGCGCAGCTGGCGCCTGACGAGCTGCACGCTGGTGCTGTGCTCGTCGTCATCGTCTTGCTGAGGTGATTTGTTGTGCTCGGAACGCGCTCGTCGGCGACCTAGCTTCAGACGTTGGCGTGTCGGCGAGGCTCATGATGCATTGATGATGCGAGACGTCAGTATCTCTCTTTTCGCCTGCTCATTAGAGGCTCTCCTGATCGTGCTCACCACAGACAGACGCCGTACAGAGCGTGCGCTGCACGAAGCCGACACGCTGGCGCAGACTGCAGACATGCGCCTCGACTTGTCGCGAGAGCACTCGGGCTCTCCGCTGCTTGACGCCAGGGATTCAGACAACTCGCTTGCTCACGCTCTTCTGTGTCTAGCCACGCGAGCACGGACACGCCGAAGTGAAAAAGGAATGGACATTGGCGAACGAGAGAGGTGTAGCATGGAAAGTAGTGAATGGACGGCACGCCGAGCTCTGGTGGACTTGCTGCGACGCTGGCGGTGCCGTGAGATGAATGGCTTGGCGTGGTCGAGAGGACGAGTCGAGAAGGGAAGGCGTCGAGAAGGGAAGTCGTCGAGACGGAGAGACGGCAAGGGAGAGGAGTTGGAAAGCGAGAGCGCAGAGTGGGAACTGGGCGTAAATGAAGAGCAGTCGAGACGAGAGAGACGTGCAAAAGGGAGAGCCGAGTCGCAAGCGGCAAGCGGCGAGCTTCAGCTCGAGAAGATGCGCAAGACTTTTCGCTCTGCCCGCATCGACTGGACAGCCGCTGCGATGTCGTCGATGCCGACGGCCGCCGCGATCTCGTCGATGCCGAACTCCTTCTGGCCGTTCCACGATGCGCGTCGGGGAAAGGCGACATCGAGCGATGCGATGAGCGGGCCGCAGAAATCTGATGCGACGATGTGAGCAGGTGCAGAGGCGCGACACGCCGGGACGCTCACCTCTTTTGAAGATGTGGTCGAAGAAGGCTAGGCGCGTGAGAGGGAACTAAGTGAGAAGGATGTGGGCGAGCCGAGGAGGAGGAGATGAGGACGAAGGAAAGATCGAGAGCAGTGAGGAGGACGGGATAGGGACCGGGAAGAGCGGGGGGTGGGGGGCGTACGCGACAGAGCGCACCGAGTGAGGCAGTCGCCTTTGAAGGAGATCGAGCTCGCCTTTGCCCTTCACGCCGAAGCTCCCAACGCGAAGCTCTGTCTCAGAGGTCTTGGGCGCCTGTGTGCGCCCCGGCTGCGCCGGGCGCGAGTCGCACGTGAATCGCTGGTTGGCACGAACATTAGCTCCCGCGCCGCCGCAGTCGTGCAGGAAGTCGGAGGAGCTCCACGAGATATGTTTTTCAGCGTCGTCTGATACATCGCTCTCTCCTTCGAAGACCGGGATCTTGAACTCTTGCGCCAGATCGTCAAGGTTCCACGGCCGATGTCCGTTCCAAGAGACGCTCAGATAGGGAAACCTCGTGTCCAGCTCGTCGACGAGAGGCCCGAAGAAGTTCGCCTGCAGATACTCGGCTCCGTCCACAAAGCCTCTCCACCCCGGTACAGCTTGCGCTTCGAAGCGGGCGGCCGATTCCCCTGGGTGGTAGGAGGTCCTTGAGATCTCGCGCGTCTGAGCAAAGAGGCGGGCTAACTCGACCGCTACCGCACCACCGTCGGAACATGCCTCTTGGACGATGAGGCGGTCGAGCGATAGAGGGATGAGGACCGCCAGCGTGCGTGACTGCACGAGGATGCGAGCCAAAGCGAAAGCTCGTGCTTGCGACTCTTGCATGTCAGTCGCGATTGCGTCAAACTCCTCGTCCGTGAGAGGAGGCCCTGTGCAGATGTCCAGGTCCCCCTCTTCGCTGCGTTGCGGCGTGACGCCGCAGTTCTGTAGCGAGCTCTTCTTTGATGTGAGCTCGACGTCGAGGTCGATGTTGCGGCGTCTGAGCTCAATCAGCAGGCTCAGATCGCAGAGCCAGTGCTTGAGCGTTGCCAGGGCGCTCTGATCTTGAACTCGCTTCTGCTCGAGTCGCTCGACGAAGCTGCAGAACACGGCCGAGTCGACCTTTCCGTCGAAGCTGCTGAGCAGGTGGAGATGCAAGCTCGCAGCACTTCTGTGGCGCTGGCTCAAGATAAGCCCTTCGAGTGCATTGTAGCAGAGTTCATCGGCGTAGGACTCGTCGAGCCTAAAGTCGCCCTTGTAAGAGCAACAGAGCGACATCACCAGCTCGACGAAGAGCCCGCAGGCACGGACTATCGGGTTCTTCTGCTCCTTGCTGATCGCACAGTCCAGCGGCCATGGGTCTGGGTCGTCTTGCTCCGCCTCAGAATCGTCTTCTTCGCCGGACGATCCGCCTGCTGCGTCCGGGGAAGTCGCGCGTGTCGACGTAGCGCGGTTCGAGGAGGACGAAGAACGGGAGCGCTCGCCGAAGGTCGAGGCCGCAGACAGCGCCGAGCTTGAGCGCTTCAGCCGCGGCTGTGCAGCGGCGGCGTCTCGCGCGGGCTCGGCAGAGTGCCTAGGAACGTCGAGCTCACCGGCCTCAGCTTCGAGCCTGACCTGCTCGAGGCGTTCCGGGCCAAGACCGCCGAGGTGCCTGATCACGAATTCGTCGGCGTCGAAGATCTTGCCCGTGAGCTCTGCGTAACGAGCTTCGTCGACCACGACGTCCGGACTGGCGTCAGGTGCACCGTCCTCGTTGGGCGCCATGCTCGTGTCGACGACAAGCACTCCGATGCGGCGAAGCTGCGTGAGGCCGCTGACGAAGGAGCTGAACAGCTCGACTGCTTCTTCCATACCGCCGCCGCGGCGGTCGACGTTCGAGTTTTCGCACCATTCGCCTTACCAGGCCCAAGCCGCAGCCCTGCGGACCTGCTTCGCTGCTGCGGTGCCGCAGCGGCCGAGGATGCATCGCGCAAGCTGCTCGTTCGTGACCTTGAACATCACGAAAAGACGCGAAGAGCGATGGCGTGCGTTGCGACTGAGAGCCGCGAGGAAGACGGTGATGTGGTCGTCTGAGCGATGTCCTCACGGCGTGAGCTGGGAGTGAGATCGTGGGCTCTGCTGGCTGACTCTCGCGTCTGCTCTGCTGTGCCAGCAAGCGAGAGCAGAGCGCAGCCTTGCGGCATCAGAGCATGCCTTTGGTGAACCAAATGTTCTCGCGTCCGCTCTTGTTAGCCGCGGCTCCTAGCACGAAGAGAAAGTCACCACCCAAAGGACCCTCAGGGGCTGCTCCTCTCGCAGCGCTTCCGCACCTCGCAGCCCGGTCCAGGCCTTTGGAATGCAGGGCCGAGACGGCGCCGAGGTACAGGAGACAGAACAGAGTCTCGAGCGATACGCCGATGGCTGCGGATCTTCATTTGCAGACGTGTCTCGCTCTCGCTGACCAAGCCGAAGCTTGAGCGGCTCTGGCACGCAAGCGGGGACACGTCGACGCGATCCATGAACCTTCGCGGCTTCGCGGCGCACGCTGCGGATACAAGGTCCGCTGCATGCTGTGCGAGCTCGGTCTTGGCAACCTCTGCATTGAGCGGAGCTAGAGCCTCTGATGGACAGGCGGTGCAAGAAGTGTGCGGAGTCGAAGCGTGGGACGGATGGAAATAGCGCTCGACCGAGCAACCGCCGGGATCTTCGCATCATCGGCATCCCACGGCCATCGCACACCGAGAGAGGGGCTGGCGTGGGCTGTGAGGTATACGCTGGACGGCGCACAGCATGTAGCACGCAAGGCTTGGGCCGAACGATGTGGTGGAGAGCAGACATCAGAGAGGAGCAGGAGCAGGAGAAGCGTGCACCTTCTGCGGGCGCCTATCGCAATCGGGCGCCGGCAGAACAGCGCAAGAAGTCGCTTCTTGCGCCGAAGCTAGCATGCCGCGGAGCGTACCGCTGGGCAGGCGTGCTGCCTTGACGCTGCAAATACTGGCGCTGCGCCGACTCGCGCCCTGCGCCCTAGTGCATCAGCCGTTGGGCGCAAGCGTGAGAAGAGAGCGAATCTGCTGCGCCGCATTTGCAAGACCCCTCATGCCTCGCCACAGCAGGCCGGAGTCCGCGATTCTGGCTGCTTGTGTGAAGGCCGCTCTCACGCACCAGCGGCAGCTCGCTCAAGACATGCTCGTGTGACGCCTAGCGCCGCAGCATGATGGTGCACTCGCTGCTCCTGCGCCCGCGGCGCGTGGGCCCCTGAGGTGCCTAAGCGGCGCCGGCGGCTTCTGCGGCACGCCGCCGGTCGAGTTGCCTCACCTTGCTTCTTCGGCGGTCCGCGCCCCAGATGGCGCGCTTCGCTGCAGCTGCAGTCTGTGCCGCTGCAGCTTGGGCAGCGGTGCCATCCGCTTGGCCCATCCGCAGCTGCTCACCGAGCTTGCAGCGAGCAGTGAGTCCGGCTGATCTACCAGCGCTGGGTCGATTTTGCTGCTCGCCTGCCATTCTTACCCCGCACCGGGTGCCGCAGCCGCAGCGCGGTCGCGCCTCGGCGAGGCAGCGCCCCTGAGCAAATCTGCAGGCGCGCGGCGGCGCGCCCCTCGCGTCGCGCCGATTAAGTCCCCTGTTCAGGGCGCGCCGCCGCAAGCGGTACCTCGCCTGATCCTTCTCGCAGCGGAATTGACACACAGGGACCCTCTAGAAATAGGAGCACTTGCCGGCTTATCTCTGGCATGAGGCAAGCGCTGCGCCGGAGCCGCGTGTGGGCGCAAGAGCGGGCGCGGCAATTCGGCTGCGGCGGCCCGCGCGGGGCGTCGTGCTGCGAGAAGGCGCCGTGCTGCGAGCCTGCCTGCAGGCACCGTGCTGCGAGCAGGCGACATTGCGAGAGGAAACGGGAGAGAGACAGCGCGCGGCGCTGGCGGCGCCGCGAAGCTCTCTCGCAGCCTCAAAAGGCCGCCTGCTGTTCGTACCCTCGGCACCCTCACCTGCTCCTTTCACTTACCCGCTTTCCACCCGTGCCAGGCGCACAGGTGTCCTCTTGCCACAGTAAGCAACCCACACCCACTCTCCAGCCGCGCCTCCCGCGGCACCCCATCCCCATCGCCATGTCGCTGCACAGCGACGAGAAGATCACGCCCAGTGCCGAAGAGAAGGCCGGCCCGGGCTTCGTCGAGAGCAAGGAGTACGCCGATGCCGACACCAACGCCTTTGGCCAGAAGGACGGCGAGCAGCTGCGCCACGATGCACTGCTGCCGCGCCACGTCGCCATGATCAGTATCGGCGGTGCGTGACGGGCCGCTTGCTGCGCGACGCTGCTCTCCCACTGACGGCCGCTGCGCACAGGTGTCATCGGCACAGGCTTGTTCATCGGCACCGGCAACTCCCTAGCCAACGGTGGCCCAGTCGGTGCGTCGCCTCCTCTCTCGCCTCGCACTGCCGGCTCTGACCGTTCTTAGGCTTGTGGCTTGGCTATATCTCGATGGCCACGGTGTGCTACGCGATGATGCAGCCGCTCGGCATCATGGTCTCGTACATGCCCGTGCCCGGAGGCCACATCAAGCTCGCCGAGCGCTTCATCTCGCCCTCGATGTCCTTCGCCATGGGCTGGCTCTACTGGTTCAACTGGACGATCATGTAAGTCCTCGGCGACGAGGGCTGCCTCCACGAACACTTCACTGAGACACTGTCCTCTCAGTCTGCCTGCCGAGGTGACTGCCGCCGCCGTGCTGATCTCTTTCTGGTCGCCGGACACCTCGCCCGCCATTGTGAGTACTGCCTGCGCGCGCGTCAGCCTCGCTTGCTCACACGACGACTCAGTGGATGTCGATCGCTCTCCTTGTCATCATCGGCATCAACTTCCTGGGCACGCGTGCCTTTGGCGAGTGCGAGTTCTGGTTTGCCTCCATCAAGATCATCTGCATCGTCGGCCTGATCATCCTCAGCTTCGCGATCGACGTCGGAGCGGGCGACCAGGGTGTTCTGGGCTTCCGGTCAGTCACGCCTTGCATCTCGCTCCTTCGCCGCCGCCTCTGACACTCACTTGGACAGGTACTGGCGGCGGCCGGGCCCATTTGTTTTCTATAACGGCGTCCCTGGAAGGTGAGTGCGATCGGCGGCGTTCAGGGAGAGGGAAGGGCGGCAGGCGGGGCGCGCGCCGCGCATCGCGGCGCGGCGGACCGGAAGCGTTCCCACGCCGAATCGTTCCCACGCCAATGTGCGTTGCGTGCTGAGGCTGACTCCGCTTCCTGTGCGCAGCTTGGGCCAGTTCCTCGGCTACTGGAGTGTGTTGATCAACAGCGCCTTCTCCTTCATCGGAACGGAGATCTGCGCCATCGCAGCCGGCGAGGCCAAGAATCCGCGCAAGACGCTGCCGAAGGCGATCTCGCGCGTTTGGGTGAGTTTGACCTCTCGATCCAGGCCCGGAGCCGACCTCCCCCGCTCGTATGGCTTCCCAATGCTCATTAACTACCGCTCTCTAGGTCCGTATCCTCGGGTTTTACGTTTTGTTAAGTTTTCGTTATAGGGGCTTTGAGGGCTTCAGGGCGCTGCAGGGACTGCTGGGAGCTCGTCGGACAGCTTCGGCGATGCTTCCTGCGGTGTCGCGGCCCTCTGAAGCCCTCTAGCCGCGTTTGCTGTCTGCTACCTGCTCACAACCTGCTCAGGGCACACTGGCGATCTCCGTTACCTGCCCGTCGAACGAGCCCGACCTGATCCTCGGCAGCAAGACGGCGCGCTCGCCGTTCGTCATTGCGATCAAACTCGCTGGCATCAAGACGCTGCCTTCCATCGTCAACGCCTGCTTTGTTACCTCGGCCGTGTCCGCTGGCTCCTCCGACCTGTACACTAGCTCGCGCGCTCTCTGTAAGTCGTGCACGAGAGCGCTCGGCGGCCAGACGCGCGAATACTGACTCGTCACATCAGACGGTCTCGCAATCGCCGGCCAGGCGCCCCGTATCTTCGCCAAGACCACCAAGGGCGGCCTGCCATGGGTTGCGTTGCTCGTAGGCGTTGCAATTTCGTCGCTCAGTTACATGGTATTTATAACGGCCTAGGACTGCCTGGCTCATCGCTGACCGTGCTTCCGACTCATCAGAGCGTTTCGGCCGGCGGAGGCAAGGTGTTCGGCTGGTTCTCGAACCTGACGTCCATCTGCGGTATGCTCACGTGCGTTGGTCGAGTTCCTATCGAGTTGAGCCTGGCTGACACTTCTGTCTCTGCAGCTGGACTTGCATCGGTCTGCTGTACATCCGCTTCCACGCTGCGATTAAGGTGCAGAACTTCGACCAGTCGCTGCTGCCCTTCAAGCACAAGGGCGCCATCTTCCTTGCGTGGTGCGTAGCCGCATCGCGTGCGACAGCCCTGCGCTATGCTGACTGCTTCATGCAGGTACGTCGTCATCTGGACAAGCCTCATCATGCTCTTCTGCGGCTTCCACGTCTTCCTCGCGGGCAACTGGGACCGTGAGTGATCTTGGACCGTGGCGCACTGGCACAGTCATTGACGTCTTCCCCTCAGTGGCCACGTTCATCACGTCGTACCTGCCGATCCCGCTCTTCTTCATCCTCCTCGGCGTGACCTGGTGGCGCGACGGCTGCAAGGCATGGGTGCGCCCCGAGGACATGGACCTGTACTCGGGCGTGCAGGAGATCATCGACGCCGAGGTCGAGGAGCCGCCGCCGAAGAACCTCTGGTGCGTGCCGCTGCTGCAGCTCTCCAGCGCCTGCGCACTCGCTGACGCTCCACACCACATGCAGGGAGAAGATCTGGCAAAAGGTCTAGAAACGATCCCTTCGTCACCTCTTCGCATCTCTTCGTCGCCCGTCTCGTCGTTCCTCCCCACCGCTATAGAGTCTCGAGTCCCGTCTGCGCACTCCCCGCGCACGCGTTCTTGGCACGCCCCATCACGACCCCTCTCGCGCACATCTCGCTGCGCACCCGTTCACGTCTACGTTCCGCTGCGCACCCTTCACGTTCCCGAGCGCCACGCGTCGTCGTCACCTGTCGGCAGCGTATCGGCTGCGTCTCTCTTCACGTTTCTAGAATGTCCATCACGTTGATGTCCTTACGCCGCGACTGCCAGCGTCTGTTGAGCGCACCAGGCGAAGACAACCGAGTGTTACGACGGCCAGCAGCTGATGAGCACGGTGTCAAGGTATGAAGGCAAAGATCACACGGTTCGGCGCTTGGCTGTGCACAGCGCGTGGCGGCGTCGAGAGTCCTGCACTCGCATCTCTCCTCGCTCAGACACGCCTCTCATCCTCGTCTCTCGCACATGGCATATCATTGAGCACCGCGACACATCTGAACAAGCAGAGCGCACGAAAGAGGTAAAGGATGGAAGAGGAAGGAAAGGATGTCGGCAAGCTACTATCTATGACTCCTCATTGCCCTCGAGCTCGAGAGTGATAGCGAAAGCAAGCAGCGTTGCTGTTCGCCGGCTTATAATGACCCACGCGCCGGAGGTGGTTGGCGCGCGCGGGAGATAAGGATGCCGGCGGTGTGTGGAAGAAGGGGGAGGGGAAGAGGGGGGGCAAGGAGGCAGGAGACTCACGCTCAGTCTTCACGCAACAGGGTGACGTCGGGGTATCATTTTACGCTCCTCGTGTCTCGCGCCCAAACTTCATCTTGCGATACTCTCTCACCGCGCGTTCCCGTTCCTTTCTCAGCTCCTCTTCTCGTCTCAAGCCTCCCTCTCCGCCGCGCACGAGTGGCTCGGGCAACCTCACCTTTGCCTCGGCAGGCGCCGGTCTGCCCATCGCCTGCGCCAGCGCCACCTTGCGTGCTCTCGCCGCGTCGCTCTCTCCTCTCGGCGCGCGCGTGAGCGTCGGAGGAGCAAGCGCGACGTCGTTGAGTTTGCGCGTGCCCACTGCTGCCCATTCTCCTTCGGCTGCACCTTGCATGGCTTGGCGCTTGCGCTTCAGCTCCGCCTTGTCCGGCTCCGCAGGCTTGCCTTTGCCCTTGCCAGCCGGCGGCTCGCGCGCCGTCCATGTCTCGTGATGCACCGTGCAGCGCGACGGGTCCTTGCAGACGTGCGGACCGTCGTCGTCGAGCACCTTGGCGGCCTTTGATGGGCCGCCTTGCAGAGCCGCGGCTTGCTGCTCGCGCTTGCGCTTCGTGCGTCCGGCCTTGACGGTGGCGGCGAGCTCGGGCGCGAGGGTTTGCTCCACGCGGCTGCAGAGAGGAGGGACGTGGAGCGTGTCAGTGAGATGCCATGTGTGCTCGGTCCCTGCCCTGCAGCAGACGGGCTGCGACTCACCGGTTGAAGTCGCCAAGTCGCTCGCCGGGCCGAATCTTCAGCTCCTCCTCCGTCGCCTTGGCCTTGCCCTTCTCCTTTGCCCGCGCCAGCGCCTTGAGTCTCTCCTTCTCCTTTGGGCCCACATCCTCTGCGCTCTGCCGCTCGCCCGCGGCCTTGCGCGCGCGGAAGGCGGCCTGCACCTTTGCGGCGTCGAGGACGCGCATGGCGCCCTTGGGCAGCTCCGTCATGTGTGCCAGGTCGGCGGCGCCGGACGGTGCGGCATTGGAGGACGCCGCACGCTGGGCGACGCGCGCCGAGAACTTGGAGCGTTTGTGGGGCATGACGGGCGGGTGAGCGGATGCTGGAGAGGAAGAGCGGCGTGCGCGCTGAGCAGAAACGGCAAATGCAGCACGAGCAGGCCGCGCCAGAAAGTCGCCTCGAGCACGGTCACGTGCAGCGCCGAGGCGAGCAGGAGGCATCCGCACGAGAGAGGCCAGCGCGCTGCTGGCGTCTGCGCACGGGCATCCGACACCTCTCGGCCTTCGCGAGAGTTCCAAGAGCCACGTGTCGCCGCCGAGGTGCCTCTCTCGAGTCTGGGCTGCCGAGCGGGCGTCGGAAATGCGGCCAGCACGGAGGGAGACGCTGGCAGGGAGCATGCAGCGAGTGCGGCGCAATGCTCAAACAGAGGCAGCGGCGAAAGCGCAGGGAGCGGTGCGCTGCGAGGGCGTCGGCCGCGCACTGGCCGCCGTGCGCAGACGTGGCACGCCGCGCGCGCGAGAGGAGGTGCTGCGTGGCGTGCGGCGTGCAGGTGCTCGAGCCTTGCCGCCGCCGTCACTCCTCACTCACCCACCACCACCCTCACACCCACACCCAGTCCAGCCATGATGAAGCCCTCCGTCGCGGCGGCCCTCGTCGCTGCCCTGCTCGCGGCCGGCGTCGTGGATGCCGAGCGTGCCGTGTTCGAGGTGCGTGCATGCCAGTCTGCCTTCGCTCTGCCGCATTTGACACTTATGGCCCCCTTCAGCCGACCAAGATCACCGCGCCCTTCCTCGAGCAGTTCACCGCCGACTGGACGTCGCGCTGGTCCGCCTCGTCCGCCACCAAGGAGCAGGCGGCCGGCGAGGTCTTTTCCTACAGCGGCCAGTGGGCCGTCGAGGAGCCGACGGTCTTCCCGGGCATCCCGGGCGACGCGGCCCTCGTCGCCAAGAGCAAGGCGGCGCAGCATGCCATCTCGGCGCCCTTTGCCGCGCCGATTGATGTGGCCGAGGCGATGAAGCAGGGCAAGCCGCTCGTGGTGCAGTACGAGACCAAGATGCAAAAGGGCCTCAGCTGCGGCGGCGCGTACCTCAAGCTCTTGACCGAGAGCCCCGAGGGCATTCAGGCAAAGGAGTTTAGCGACAAGACGCCGTGAGTGAGAACAGAGTGATGTGCGGAGGGAGGAGAGGGCGCGGTACGGCTTGGACCGCAGCGCGCGGGTGCCAGCCAGTCTGGCCCTCTCGCTGTGACGTCGTTGGCGCCTCGCTGCGACGTCGTTGGCCGCTCGCTGCGACGCGATTGGCCGCTCGCTGCGACGCAATTGGCGCCTCGCTCCGCCTGCGCTGCCAGTGGTGGCCTTTCCCTTCGCTGCTCTGCCGGTGTTCACATGTTTTTGCTTCTTGCTCTGCCGGGGCTCACATGTTTCTGCAGCTACACGATCATGTTCGGCCCCGACAAGTGCGGCAGCACCAACAAGGTGCACTTCATCTTCCGGCACACACACCCCACGACGGGCGCCATCGAGGAGAAGCACCTCGTCTCGCCGCCGTACCCCAAGATCAGCAAGACGAGTGCGCTGTACACGCTCATCGTGCGCGCCGACCAGACGTACGACATCCTCATCAACGGCGACTCGAAGAAGTCGGGCAGCCTGTTCGAGGACTTTGACCCGCCGGTGAACCCCGCCAAGGAGATCGGTGAGTCAAGGTGAAGCGCGGCGGGGTGGTGGATGCGGCGTGCGGGCTATAGATGCGGGCGTTGCGACAGGTCGAGGCACATAGCGTCGCGGCTCTGTGCGCTGCAGCTCTGGCGCTCTTCCGCCGCAGCTCTGTTCGCTCCAAGCGCACACTAACCCCCCTCCTAGACGACCCCGACGACTCAAAGCCCGCCGACTGGGTCGACGCACAGCGCATCCCCGACCCTGACGCGTCGAAGCCCGACGACTGGGACGAGGACGTGAGTGCCGCGCCGCCGCGCATGCCACGCCAATACTGACTTCTGCCCTAGGCACCGGCGGCGATCCCCGACGACGACGCCGTCAAGCCCGAGGGCTGGCTCGACGACGAGCCCGACATTGTGCCCGACGCCGACGCCGTCAAGCCCGAGGAGTGGGACGACGAGGAGGACGGCGCATGGACGGCGCCGCTGGTGCCGAACCCCAAGTGCGCCGCCGCGCCGGGCTGCGGCGCGTGGGTGCGCCCATCCAAGGCGAACCCGGCGTACAAGGGCAAGTGGAGCGCGCCGTACGTCGACAATCCCGCGTTCAAGGGCGAGTGGGCGCCGCGCAAGATTGTCAACCCCGACTACGCCGAGGACCTGACGCCGAGCCACTTTTCGAGCATCGGCGGCATTGGCTTTGAGCTGTGGACGATGGACGAGGATCTGGCGTTTGACAACATCTACATCGGCCACTCGGTGGAGGAGGCAAAGGCGCTGGCCGACGAGACGTGGGCGCGCAAGCTGCCCATCGAGCAGGGCAAGGAGAAGAAGGAGGAGGAGAGCGCGGCGCAAAAGGCAAAGGAGGCGGCAAAGGAGGCGGCGGCGACGGCCGTGCCGCTCTTCGACACGCTGCGCGAGAAGCTCCTCGAATTCGTCGGCGCGCTCGGCAACGACCCGCTCGGCGCGCTCAAGGCGCACCCGGACGTCGCCGGTGCCGTCGGCGCGCTCTTCGCCGGCCTCCTCGCCCTCATCACGCTCGTGGCCGGCGTGGGCAGCAGCGCGCCGAAGCCCACCAAGGGCGCAAAGAAGACGGACGCGCCCAGCAAGGCCGTCAAGGCGACGGCCGTCGCGCCGGCGCCCGAGGCCAAGAAGCGCACGCCCGTCGCCGCCACCGTCGAGGACGAGTGAGCGCGCACAGGCGATCGCCGAGGTGGCCCATGTCGTCATGTACCGCCGCAATGAAACACAAAAGCTCTCTCGCATGCGATGCCCATTATGACTTGCCATCTACCAACATCAGCTGCGCCAGCAGTGCGCCTGCGCGTCGCAGCCGGCTGTTGTGCAGGGCAAAGTGGCGGCACTCGACGAGCAGTGCCTCGTCTGTGCGTGCCTCGAGCTCGTCTGCCTGCTGTGCGAGGCCGGGGAGAATGGCAGAGGAGATGAAGCTGCATAGCTGCGAGGACAGGGTCAGGGCGGCGTCACCGGACAGGTCGCGGCACTTGTGATGCTCTACTGACCACCTCGACGATCTTGGCTGCGCGCTCCTCGTCTCCCTCACGCTTGAGTCGATCGAGCGTCTCTACACAACAGCTGAGCCAAGGCCCAATCACCTGCATCTTCGTCTCTCGGCGCAGCGACGGCGGGGCGGGCGGCAGCAGTAGGCGCGCCAGAAAGGCCGGCACGGCGGCGCAGGGCGCCTCGACGCCGAGCGAGGGCAGCGTCGCCAGCAGCTCGGCGCGCTGCCGCACGGCCAACGTGTCCGCCGCGTCGTCGACAAGCGAGACGAGAAGCTTGAACGCCACGCTGGGCGAGTGGAGGGCGAGCGAAGGGTACAGCGCAGGTGGCATATGGCGTGCCAGCAGCGGCAGATGCGACTGCACCAGCTGTGAGGCAGCGGGGTCAGCAAAGGCAGAGGGATCACCTTGGCTTGCTGCCCACTCACGCGCGCCTCGCGCATCGTCAGTGCGCGCTCCTCGCCGCGCTGCAGCATGCGCTGCGCCTCGACGACGGTCACGTCTGCCTCGCGGCGCGGCGTTGCTGCCGCAGGAGAGTCGTGCGGCGGGGCAGGCGCGTCGTGCTGCCGTGCCCACGTCGCCGGCAGCGCGTCGACGATGTCGGGCGCCCATGCCTCGAGCAGCTGCTCGATGTGGCCGGCCACGCGCGCCTCGTCTGCGGCGACGAGGTGCGCGGCAATGCGCCGCAGCGGCGCGGCGAAGGGCTGGCAGCCGAGCAGGCGTGCTTGCCAGGTGGCATACGGGCGATGCAGCGCGGCGCAGAGCGGCACGAGCTGCGCGACGGGCGTGTGCGCCAGCGAGGCGAAGAGGTCGAGCAGAGGAGGCAGCGAGAGCCAGGGCGCTTGCTCGGGCAGCCGCGCGGGCGGTGCGGCGGCTGGTGCCATGGCTGCGCCTGAGCGCCCGAGGCAACGCTTGCCGATTGCTCTGCAGCGAGAGTGGGCTAGGCAGAGGATGCGTGCGGTGCTTGTGGTAGAGAGGCAAGCGCGATCTTGCGGCGGCTGCTCCACACAAGCGGCATCAGCGCCGGGTGCCTCGGGCTGACTGCGTGGGAGCAGGGGCACTGTACGCGTCGCGCAGCGCAGCCCCTGCCCCCTGCTTCTCACCACCACTCCCTGGCCGTCGGGGCACGAGCATGGCTCAGCAATGCCGCGCTTCCTCGTCGATCCGCACCTCGCACGGCTGCCCGCCGAGGGCGCCACGTCGCTGGCGCCTGCGCCCGCCTCGCGCACGTCGCCCTCGCGCGCACGCAGCTCCCTCAGCACCACGCGGCGCGCTGCCTGCTCCTCGCCCTCTCGGCGCGCCGCCGGCGCAGCAGCTGCCGCCTCGCCCAGCCGGCCGCGCAACCGGCTGCTCATGCGCACCTCGCCTCCGCCAGCGCCGCTCTTCGCGCGCAGTGCCGCACCGCAGCCGCCGGCTCTGCCCGCCCGCAGCGAGGCATCAGCCGACGTGCCTGCGCTGCGCACTCTGCGTCCTCTCCGCACCGCCGCCGCAGCAGCGACGCCCCATCCGAGCGACTCGACCATCATCACATCCTCCCCAGCGGGCGGCGGCGCATCGCGCGCAGCATCAACCAGCTCGCTGCGCTCCGCCCTCGCGGCAGACGCAGCACTCAGTGCCGCACGCGTGCAGCAGCGCGAAGCACAGACGCACGAGCGCATCGAGCGGCGCACGCGCGTGGGCCGCAGGGTCAGAGAGGCGCTGGAGAAGTGTGCGCGGGAGCGAGAGGCAGACAACGCGAGCAAGAAGCGCCGCATAGAGACGCCGCCCGCACGAGCCGGCGGGAGCGGGACAGGGGCCGCCGACGTATCAGTGTGCACCGCAGCCGGCGCGTCCGATGTCGCCACGATGCCGGCCCTGCCTGCTGCCCCAACAATCGACCTGCGTACCCTCTCCTCTCGCGCGCCGCGCAGCTCGCCATACGTCACGACGGCGCGGCTCACTCGAGCGGCCAGTCGTGCCGCGAGCGCGAGCTCGGCGGCGCCTTCTAGTCAAGCAGTCACGGCCAGGGGTGCGTCGGCAGCATCACCTTCTGTCGGCGAGAGGCCCGCAGCGCAGGCAGTCGGCCAGGTATCAGCGGAGAGCTCCGCCACCAAGGACGCCGCCTCGCGTGCAGCGCGCGCTTGTCGCGAGGTGCAGACGCAGAGCCAGAGCCAACACGAAGAGATGCAGCCTTCCGACAGCCTGCAACAGCCGGCCCTCGCTGCCGCGCCGGGACTGCGAGATGCCGCATCTGTGCGATGCGAACTCCCCGCGCCGCCGGCTGTCGAGGGAGGCAGCGCAACGGCCGCCGCCGCCGCCGCAGTAGCAGAGTCTGTCGCAGCTGCAGAGAGCCTGGCCAGCCACAGTGGCTCGTCACCACAGGCATCCATGCCGCTGGCCGAGGTGTATGAGACGAGCTTCAGCTGTCCTCCACGGCTGTGTGCGCGTCTTCGGCCGGCACGCAACAAGGCTGCGCCCTCTAGGAGTGCCACGACGCTTCTTACGCGTCTCGATGCGACAGCCGGGCCGTCTGTGGCTTCTCGGCCGCCGCCACTCCCGGCAGACGAGCCGGAGGCAACCGGACGCCATTCTGTGCCGTCCAGCGAGGCGAGCAGCACTGAGTACTCCGACGACATGCGTACCGGCACGACGCAGTTGCCCGCCGATGCTCTGTTTCCCTTTCACGCATTCGACGAGACGCAAGCGCACCTGCATGCCTCACACGACGACGACGACGACGACGACGACGCTAGCGACGAGTCTGCCGCTGCCGTCGCCGAGCTCTCTCGCCACGACGTCGCCGCTCCGACTGCCGAAGCCAAGCTGGCCACGCCGTCATTGCGCCGCCTCGTCCCTGGCGCAAGAAGAGTGCTGGCGTTCGAGACGCCAAACACGCCGGCCGCCGCCCCTGCTGCTGCTGCTGCTGTTGCTGCTGCTGCCAGTGTGCTACCTCAGGCTGCCCTGGCGATTGACTCGCCATTGCCTCGCACTGTGGCGCAGGAGCGCGTGCTCGCGTTCGAGACGCCTGCTGGCGAGGCGCGAGGGCGAATGGGAGTGCCGCTCGTCGCTGCAGAGGAGAGTCCGGCGGCAAGCACGCTCGCTCGACGTCGTCGATCGTCAGGCGCAGCGCCTACTGTGCCGGCGGCTGCGGCTGCGTCGACGGCGACGACGAGCTTGGAAGCGCAAGTCTTCTTGCCTGCTCGTCCTTGCCTCTTCCATCGTGCTCCGCCCTCTCGCGCTGCCATCCTGGCCGATCTCGATGGCTCAAGGCCACGCACGACAGCGCCTGCCGTCGCTGTGGCGCCCTTCTCTGCCGCCTGGCGCCGCGCCAACAGCACCGCTGCTCGCAGCAGCGGCATGCGGCACGTCCAGCCGCGGCTTTGGCGCGGCTGGAAGGATATGCAGAGTGAGTTGTCTGGCCCACGCTCGCGCCTGGGCGGCTCTCGACGTTTTCGTCTTTTGCTCAGACCCACCGCTTGGCCCCACCCCACAGCCTACTTCGTCACGCCGCCATCGTACACCTACCACGCGGCTGCGCCGTCACGCGCGGCGATGCAAGAGTGGCTTGCTGCTGCTGCTGCTGCTGCTGCGCTCGAGTCGAGCGACTCGGGCTCCTCTCGCCTCTCGCGCGGCGTAGCTCGCGGCGCTGCTGCACGCTCCTCTGCGCCGTCGGCGGTACGCATGCCACGCTTCGGGCTCTCGACGCTCGAGCTCGAGGAGGCGGCAGAGGCGGCGGATGAAGTGTCGAGTCTACGTGTCGGCATTCCACGCTCCAGACGCAGAAGCCATCGTGGCGCCGCTTCGGCGTCGACGTCGACGTCGACGTCGGCAGTGGAGCTCGAGCCTCGCGCAGAGGAGGAGAGTCAGTGGCCCATGCCCGATCTCGGCTCGCCTGCCTCGACCAGCTGGGCGGCGGGGGCCGCTGCTGCTGCAGCGCACTGCTTCACGCGACAAGGCGCTGCTGCTGCGCGACTCGGCTCCGCCCGAGCAGGCGCAAGCACTACGACCGCACAGCAGCAGCAGCCCGACTCGCTCTTCGACTCGCGCGCCAGCGTGCCGTGGGATGATGCCAGCGTGTGGGAGAGGTAAAGTATGCG